TTGTCTGTCCCTCCCAGCTAGCAAGTGTGCCCCCTGGGCAGTTTGTGTGGTGGCTCACTTCATGTCCCCAGGTCTGAGAACTATGCCTGGCACCTAGTAGGCACTCAATAAATATTTGAGTTAATGAGTGAATGAGTGACTGTTGAATCTGGGACATGACCAAACACTGAGGTCAGACCCAAGCAATGACACACCTGTAAGGATCCTTATTAGGCAGTGTCACCACAGCCTGGGAGTTTGCCTCCCTCTGTCCCTGCATTGGCCTTTGCTATAACTCAGCAACCAAGGCTTTGGTAGGTACTATCCTCAGGAATTTAGTCTAGGAACTGTTATTACTATCCTTTCCAAATGTCCTCTCTGGCTCTCTAGGAATGGGATAGTGTACTGACTGATGAATGTGTTTATGTGGTCATCTGGGAGTTGGGGGACCTGCCTATGGGTATGGAATAGAACACAGTGTGACATACTAGGGAAAAAGTAGTCTATGCATAAAAATCAGGAGTTCTGAGTTCTAGTCCTTATTCTACCCCTAACTTGCTATAAAGTCTTGAGCAAATTGCCAGGGCAGACGGCATTTCTGGGTCTCACTTTCATCCGATGACCTCAGTGATCTCCAAGGGCCCTTCCATTTGCAGTGACAGACCCATCGCGTGTTCCTTGATTAATGCCTGCCTCCTTTACTGGTAGCTCCATGTGAACAGGGACTGTTTGCTCACTTAACTTCATAATGTGCAGTGCTCAGAGGCACTCGATACATATTTGCTGAGTAAACAAATCCCTATGAAACCAAAGAGTGATTTCAGCCTCATCAGCCTGTTTTCTACACAACCTAGTCACTGGTACGTGGAAGTGTGCTGTGAAGATCCTGGCCTGGAAAAGTCCTTCGACCCCACCAAGAAGGGCAAGGAAGCTGGTCTGCACTCCGAGGGCACACAGAAGCCACACGATTCATGGTGTGAATATTAGTGGGAGGTGTGCAAGGGAGAGCGTGGGCCGGGCACCTGCGCCATCGGCCTTGTGGTTTGGGAAAGAATGGATTTGGGGTGAGAGTCATGAATTTGAGTCATGCATGTGTTATTGTCATGCTGTAGGAACTTGTACAAGTTATTTACTTCTCTTCGCTCCAGCCTCTCTGTTTGGGAAATGAGAACAGTACTGCCCTCCCAGCACAGCTGTGAAAATTAAAGGAGCACATGAGAGTCTCGCCAGCATGTGGGTAAGAAGGCGCTCAGAAAATGGAGTCTCTCCTTATCTGGGTCTGCCGTCCCTTGACCTTCATGAGCTCTTTGAGGCATGGGGTCTTCTAACAATGCCTCCTTTCCCAAGAGCTGACCTAAGTCTGCGACCAGCTCTTGGGAGTTCCCTAGCCTATCTTGGCTGAAGGGGGCATACAGATTGGAATAAAAGTGTTTCTTAAAATATCTTCCTTTGGAAATAGATATTTTCTCCTTTTGCTTCCCATTAGCCTAGTAAGATTTTTAAAAAATAATTATTTTATTTAATTTTATTTGCTATTATTATTATTTTTTATTTGACCAGAGAGAGAGAGACAGAGAGACAGAAAGGGAAAGTGAAAAAGTAAGCCACCAGGTCTGGGATTTGAACTGTGGTTGGCCATGTGGAGTCTAATGCTCCAACAAACACGCTACCTCATAGCCCTGCCGAATGAGATCTGCTAATATCAAAAGGTACAATTCTCTAAATAAAATTTAACAATCAATCATAATTTGAATGTGCGGACACTCCCTTTCACTGAAGATGAGTTTGGACTTCGTCTGTCTCTGTTTTTGGCTACTCTGTCTCTCATGCCACCTGGCTCCCTCACCCTTTTCCTGATGGAGTGAATTATACTCCTGTCTAGCCCTGTCCCCTCTGCACTTCCCACCACACTCATCTTCTATACATGATCATCTTTGTTCTGGAAAATATATTCTGTTGCTAGGAAACAAGGCAAAGTCGCCGTGGTTGACATGGTTCTATTAGTGACTGCAATTGCAGTGGTGCCGCCACCATGCTGGACGCACGCTCAGTGCATCTGTCCCCAACTTGACAGATATTTCCAGAAAGTGGGATAGGGTAGATTCTTGGCAGGGCATTAAGGGCCTGAGCACTCAATAGAAAGTATTTATAAATCACTGTATATCAACAGCCTGCTTTAGAATCATTTTATTAGAACACATTCAAGAAAGTGACAAACGGAAAAAAAGACAGCAGCAATTCTCAGTCATGCAAATGCCCGTGTTAAGGTTCTCCATTGGATTTAAATTCAAGTACAAAGACAGTCCTTTCCTGAGCCAGGTGCAATTCCAGAGAATGACACTTTGCATCGAGAGTACGTTTCTTTTGCAAAGTTCAGAACACTGAACAAGTCACTCCTCACAATAAAATTGTGAGATACATGGAAGTGTAAACTTTTAATAAACCCTTTACCCTGCCCTCCCCCATATTACAGCTAGGGAAGTAAGCCCACCTTCAGGACCTCTTAGAAATCAGGTTTACTCTATTGAAAATAAAGCAGTGGGTCTTAAAAAAAGTTAGAAAATGAGTGTATATATGAAATGGAACCATCTCTACCTCTTGCCTTGGTGTGGGGTTTCCATGAACCTATGTGTGTTAGGGGTTGGGGCTCTCTCTGGAGTGTCTTGGAAGCTTGAGAACATTAAAAAAATTTTTATTATGAAAAATTGTGAACATATACAAAAGCGGAGAGAATGGTATAATAAATGCCCATGTATTCATCGTCTAATTTTAACAATTCTCACATGTGGCCAGTTCATTTCATTTATATCTTCTCATACTTCCCACCCCACCCCCCAACAGGATAACATGAGACAAATAGAGGCATAAAGGGTGTTCTTTGAAATCAGGACCTTGGGAGGAAACGAGATTTGAGAGGGGCTAGAAAAACATGGTGGAACCCGGGTAGGCTGAAGCAAGTAGAAAATGTGTTGGGAATTGGCTGCTCTCAGTGTCTGGGGAAGACTTGAGTTCCCTTTTGTTTTCTCTACCATCAACCATCCCTCTTCTTCCCCCTGCTTTCTCATGAAATGGGGAAAGCAAGCTAGATTAGAATGATGGGTATTTTCCAGATTGAGGTCCACTGATAACAGAAATGTTCAACCTGAAGAACAACTCCAGAAATAGGTGTATTCCTCTAATTAATCTGCCCACTCATGTTACACATCTCAAAGGCAGCAAAGGCCTGGGGGTACCTGGTGTTCAGACTGTGAGCTGAGGGAGGTTCATTGGGCCATGGGGCCTCTCACAGGTCCCTACTGCCCCACCGCTTTAGAGTTTGGAGAGAAGCTCAATAACTTCGAATTGCACTCAGTAGAGAGGCAGGGAGCCCCGAGGGGTGAGCCCATGGCCCAGGTGGGCAGATTTTGCTTGGAACATGTTACCCTCTGAGCAAAGGCTGCGCCCCACACCAGCCCTGCCAGAGCAGTCTCAAGAGAGGTGGGTGATTGGAGTCTTGGTGGGAGGTCCCAACGGTGCCACGGCTAACCCGGTGAGCTGCAGGGACAAGTCCCAGGCTGCGCGCTAAACGTAAGTGGAGAAAGGATCTCCAGGTCCCAGGTGCCACCGAGGAACAAGGTTGCCATCCTGTTAAGAAAAGGGCTGGGCTCTGTGATTTGCATATGACTTTGTAAAAATCTGCATGAGATCCCATAGCCCTTTATAGAAAACATTAAACCATCAGTGCAGCCTACTGTATTTCTAGTAACCCAATGCCCAGAGTGCAACTTGGCGCACACACAATCATTTCTGGAAGAGGATCTGGAGAAAGCAGAGTGTTACACACGACGTTCCTTCATCTGAAGGTTCAGAGAAGCCAATCAGGTCTAGGATCCAGATGAGGATCACTAACTGGCTACTTTTGCTAACTTTGTCAAAACTCAAGTTCATATACTTTCACCCCATTAGCCCTCTCTAGACTGATCCTGCAGTAGCTTCCCAGTATTCCAGACACAGAAGTAGGAATAGAGCCAGGAATAATATAAATAGGGATGTATTAAATAGGAGGCCCTAGTGACAGTGATTATTAGTGTTTCTTACATATCCCTTCTGTTTTGCTTTCTCCTTTAAACTCTTATGGGGTTCCTATGTCCTACCAATGAATCTTGCGATAACATTTAACTGGGGGAAAGAAACTGAGAACCCATTTACGTAGTAGATCTTTGGCAGTAATGGACTTAAAATTAATGATTTGAAGTATTTCCAGGGTCCATGACATACGGGTAACCTGTAATTTTTCCAAGGTATGCATGGGTGCAGGACTGGCTAAGGGAGTGGACTGCTGAGTGGGGGAGTTGGGGAGTAGGGGAGTGGGCAGGGGAGACATGCTACAGCCCCAGCTAACATATTTCAGCGTGGCTTACACCATCTGTACTGGGCCATCTGAGAAAATGAAATCATCCCTTCTTTAAGAAAAAATAGCTACTCAAAGAAAGTCAACTTCTAGGGCCATTGGAGAAATAACTATTCTAAACAGCAATGGTTCTTAGCCAAGAGAAAAGTTCAGGATAAATTAAAAGAACATAATTTCACATTGGACTGTGCTCAGCTTCATGATGCTCAAGCCTCCATCATACTTGCCATGTAGAGATGAGAAAAGCAGTCTCAAATGTGCTTAATAAGAACCCCAGCTGGGCAGAAACTATTCATTAAGTGAGAAAACACTTCAGCATGAAGTTGAAATGATAGTTACTCTGAGCTTCAAGGAAGTTAAGACACACTAGGATTCAGAGGGGATGAGATTCTGAAGAAAGGCAGGGGCTGTGCACCTGTGGCTGGAAGTCACTCATGGCAAAGGTACTGGTGTGCTCACAGAGCTCACCTGCACCAGGACAAGAGTGGTTCAAGAGTTTGCAATCACATTTTTTGGGGAATAATGTTACATATTATGATTAGCTAATATGTATTGAGTATTTACCATGTCCCAGGCAAAATTCTAAGTGTTCTACATGCATCATTTCAGGAACTCTGGGGTGGTAATACCGTTGCCTGCGTTTTGCAGACTGAGGCCTAGAGAGGTCCTGCCCAGGATCAGACAACTGGCAATAGGGAGTGAGATCTGAACCAAGCTTTGACTCCAAAGTTGTCCTTAACTGCTGAGAATGTTGCCTTTTCTAAAAAGAATCCATCTTCTAAGTGATATTTGTACATTTATATGTTGGTTGATTCCAAAGATCTTAAAAGGCATCCCTCACATAACAACCTATCTTTTCCCTGGGACCTGACTTAAAGCGGATTGGGTCACTTCATTATATATGGAAATGTTGGAAAAGCCATAATACATTTTTGCATAGAAAAAATACATCATGACTTTTCCAACAATCCAATATATTCATTGGACATTACAAAACACTCCTTATTCTCATTTAAACCTCAAGTTGTGATGGTCTCTGTGCACCCATAAATCTGGCTGGTGGTAGTTGGATGTGTGAGACACAGAAAATGAGCCTGTGTAGGCGTACCAAACACTTGTTCCCTAAAAATCTAAGAAAATACATACACATTAATGCAGGAAGCCATGATTTATATAGCCCAGTTGGTACCCTTAAAAAGTAGTTAACACCATGCATACCACTTAACTTTAAAAATGATGGCCACGGGACCAGCAGATGGTGTAATGATTATGTTGCTGGACTCCCACGTAGATGATCATGGTTTAAATCCCAGACCCTGAGGCTTAAAACTCACACTGGGCATGTGTATGTGCGTGCCCAAAACTCCGAGAGGAGAAAAGAGAAGAGGTTGCAGTGTGACCATCCCCCATGGGGGAGGGTGATTTCTGGCTTTCTGTTTCTCTCTGTCTCTCTGGTGAGTGCATGCACCCTATAGCAAAAATCTCTCTTTTTAAAAAAATGATGGCCATTCATGACTTTGTTGAGATGATTTTTTAAAAATCTGGCCTAGGGCAAGAAGTAGTAGAAAAAGTGTAAGTGTGAAAAAGAGACCGCTCAAATTCTTTTGAAATGCTAATGTTCTCTTTTCTCTATAGAAAAGTTCTCAGTTTAGAATTTACACTATATTCCATACCTAATACCTTACGCCTTTGGCCTTCACTCCATAGGCCAGGGTAGCCCTGTAATCAGCTTTCTGAAATATTACCATGGTAACTCTAAGGGCCACCTGCCTTGGGATTACTAATGCGGAGGTCTTTTCTATGTCCCAGCCATCTGTGGAAAAACCTGAGTTTTGCAGCATTTCTATCGCAGTTTCCCATCTTCCAGCACACACTGTCAGAAGCATTTGTCTTTGGTATTTCCCACTAGGAGCAAGAATCAGCCAGACTTTTTCTATAGGGCAGTGGTTTCCTTAACCAGACTCCTACCCCCCGACCAGCATTCTTATTTCTAGGAGGGTCATGTTGAGATTTCTCCCTATTCGGGCCTAGACCCTTCAATGCACATGCTGCTTGTTTAATACATACAGGCCCCGTTCTAATGCTAGACTCTCGTGAGAGCTTCGTGAGCTACAGAGATGTTCTGCACTCATTGGACACCCAGTGATATAAAAGCAATATGAAATGGGGAATATACTTATTATGCATATTCTCTGTTGTTCCTCAAAGAATTTAAGGTAGCATTTCTAAACATATCTTTAGTTGACTGTATTTTTGCAAGGTTTCTGTCTGAAGGATTAGGAAACTACTGAGGCAGGAATATGCCTGATTGCTGTTTCCCAGGCTAAGACTTCATAAACAGCTTCCTCTAAGTTCCCGACTCATGCCATGCTCTGCCAGGCACAGAGACAGTGGGCGACTGACACAGACAGTACACAGAACATGGAATGTTCTTGGTTTTTAACTCAGGCATATCCATTCAGTTGATTGGGAAGGGGGAAATGACAGAATTTATGCTGTTTAGAGCAAAATGTTGCGTTTGTGTTTTTGCCTGAATCGTCCAATTGTTTAATGTACTTGGCCAGTGGAAGGCAGTGTGCGCAGTGGATATCAGGAAGGCCCAGCCTCAAATCTCAGTTCTGCCATTTTCTAGTTGTGCGACCCTGGATGTTACTTAACCTTCCTAAGTGACATTTTCCTCATGGACAAAATGAGGATAATGATACTTACCTGGAAGAACTGTGTAAGGATAAAATGAGGGATTTTACGTAAGATTTTATATAAGATGCCAGGCTCACATTAGGAGTTAGTCAGAAGTTGTTATCAGCTACTTTTGCTCTGCATCGGCTTTCTTACAGATAGGCTCTGAGCTGTTCTCTTCCTGCCCAATCACAGCTGTGACTTCCTAGAAAAGGCTCTCTCCCCATTAGACGGGGTAGGCGATTTGTCCTTGGTGGGAACTTCACGTACTCTGCCTGTGTTCCTCCCTTATATGCAGCAAACTCTGCAAATACCTTATGAACCAGTTTTAAAAAGCTATTCTCGACCTCAGGTTTCAAGCCAGAGCCCAGACTAGAAATTTTCCTTGATGTAGCCCTCAGAATTGTAATCTGAGATACACACTGTAAAAAAATATTCAATACTGCACAGAGAGAAGACATAAACACCATGAAACATGTTTTCAGGTCAGTTCTTTTCAAAGTATGACTTTTTTTTCTTTTTTTTTTTCTTTTTTTTTTCTACTTATCCTGCTCTGCCTGAAGGGGTTCCTTTTGGACTGAGAGGCTCGTGTCTGCAGCTCCTGCCATCCCCAGGGCTTCGTCCTGAATGCTATGAAGAGGTTACTGAAAAGGATGACGAACGGGAAGACCTCGGAGGGGGTATGGAGTTATTTCCCTGTTACTCTGACTCCTGAGCAACAGCCCAGGGGCTCTGCACCTCCAGAACACCAGCCTGGCTCAAAGAAATTAGCATGGCCTGCAATATTCTTTCCATTCTCCCTCGTTCAGAACCCTCTGGGAGAACTCTGAACCATGAGACAGGATTCCTTAAATGCATATTTTTAAAAAATGTAGTCTTGATTTGTTTTAAGTTCAGAAAAGTTAGAACTAGCCTCTTTACCAGAAAACTTTCTCCCAATCCTTAGACTGTGGGAGAGAGAGGAAGAGAAACAAGGGGCAGACCTGTCTTGATCTGACACGAGCTGCCTCCTATTTGAAGCCTTGCCACTAAAGCAGGGATAGCAATTTCCTTAATGGTGCTCCCTGCACCCTCCTGACCTGGGTTCTGGTGTCCTCATACTGAATCCCTCTGGAAGCACAAACTTGAAATATCTGCACATCTTTTCACGATCTTGAAAGTCGTTCAAGCTTTCCCCACCTTTTCCGTATGTCTGCACAGTTCGGTTTGGGGAAAAAACCTGAAGAACTTATCATCCTCCACTCCCTGGCTTTTCCTTCTCTTTTCTTGTGTAGACCAAGGTTCCTGACCTTCACAAGCAAACAAAGTTGCCAGCTCCCCAGCTCACCACCTTGCCCCATGCTGCAAGTCAGCCCACATTCGCTCTCTGGTCACTTTCTTGAATCTTGACATACTGAGAAGCGGGTCACTGTTTCCTTCTAGGTACCTGCTCGACCCCTTCCCCTTGGTCATGTGGGGGGTGGACCTCATCTACTACCTAACAACCTTGTTCTTTCTCATCCTTTTAAAAAATAATAGCTACTAGGATTGTCAATAAAAGTAATGTCTTATTTTAGAAAATTGGAAAAAGACATTATCTAGAAATAACCATCAGTTACTTTTTGGTATATTTCCTTCATATATACATACATATGTGCACCTACATACACACATACATGTGTATATATAAGCACAAACACACACACACACACACACACACACATATATATATATATTCTCCTTTTATATGTATAGCAAAATTAATCTTTTTTTATATTGAGAAAAAAAAAAGAGGAAGCTTTCCAACTAAGTGGGAAGGAAGGAATTCCAGGCTACAGCTCAGGGAAGCCCTCCACCTGTGTCAGCCACAGGCATGATCTTTTGGAGCAAGGACTTGTTAGTTTATGCTGTCATGGGCCTGATGGCCAGAGAAAATGTTCATGATATCCTTGCCCTCCCCAAACCATGTGGATAAATACTTCTTAGAAAGGATATGGGAAACACATCCAGAGACATGTACAAATTCATAACTATAAACAAACGAAAAATGTACACATAAAACATAAAATTAAAAATTACTTTTGAGCACTTTCTGTAAAAGCCCACCTCTATTGCAGAGTGCTACTGATAACATAGGCATCAAACATGAGCCTTCTCCTCTTAGATCTTATGATTTAGTTGGAGACACAAAAACTAACCCATGGGAAACAATAGCGAACTAGAAAAAGATATTGCCTCACAAAATAAAAAGGGATGAGACTCCCGTAATCATTCTGATGAAGAAGGTTTGTTCCAACAACATTCTCCCTGAGGTTAGAAATACATGAAGACAGAGAAATAATTTTGGAGACACAGGGATGCAGTAGAGGTTAGCAGACAAATGAGATTATGAGGTGACAGATCATTATCTTTTGATCATAATCACACATATTCTGGAAAACATATGTCACAGGAGAGATGTGCAGACCGTGCAGAACCCAGGGAGGGGCAGGGCTGGAGGGACGAGGTCTGCTATTAAGAGGGTCTCAGATGCTAGAAAATGCTACTGTGGCTTGGGAGACAAACTTCTTCTCTTGAAACTCTCAGGGACAGACTGCATGTCATATAAAAACATAATGCCACACTGAGGAACAGGCAAACACTAGAGTGCTCCAATGGAGAGTTGCTTGAGGTAGAGGATTGAGAATGAAGGAGAGCCAGGATAGCTTAAAGGTAAAGTGGTGAACAGGCTCTTAGAAAAGGAATAAAAGGACAGTTTTATGTTCTGTTGGTTAGGGGAGCAGGATCCCACAGGGCCAACTGTGTGGTTCGAATCCCAGCTCCAGAGGTTTGAAAAATCCTGCAGGGTATATGTGCATGCTCCAAATACCAGCAGAATGGAGAAATAGAGAAGAGGGGATTATGGCATGACTGTGCCCATTGGGGGTGCTTTCTCTATCTCCTCTGTTTTTCTGTCTCTGGTGAGCATATATGACCACTAGCAAAAACAAGCCAACAAACAAGCACGCACTCCCCCCCACCAAAAAAAAAAAAAAAAAAAGGAGGAAAAGGGCAGATTGAGGAGATGGTGTATGGTGAGTTTAGTTCAGTTCTGTTGAGTGGAGTGCAGTGAGGCATCCCAGTGCAGTTACAGCTTATGTTGGCAGTATGCTACTGGATCCCAGGGTGAAAGACAAGGGCTAGGAACAGAGATTGTTCAACTCACTGTTAAAAGGGCATCTTTAAGCTAAGTAATGTGGCAAATTAAAAATAAAACATATGTATGTCCTAAATATTAAAAACCAATATTGGATTTATTGGGGGGAGGTGTTAGGCAGTATTAGTGTATCAGCAGGTGTGGGGGTAGATTAATGTGGAGAAGTGTTTCCAGAAATAAAGGAGGTGCATGTCAGGCAGGCAGTGAAGTCTAGGCCAGATATGATCAGGCAGTCAGTGGGCATTATAGGAGACAGAAGCAGCAGAAGGAAAGCATGGCAGGGGTGGAGGTGTTTGATGATCACCATTTACTACATGCCAAATGATGTAGCTGATAGTAAAGATATAAGCATCATGAAGACCAAGACATGGTCATCAAGGAAGTCACAAAGTAACGTGGGAGGAAGACACATCACTGGCCAATTAACTGGTAAGTGCAGTTAGGCTGATATGTATAAATAATCAATATTTAACTATTTTAGATCCATGAAAACAGTTTCATGTAATTCAGTCACACATAGGTGCATTACAGAAAAAGAGTCTCTAAAGAACCATCTATAGGGGACCAGCAGTTAGTGTAATGGCTATGTCGCTGGACTCCCACGTATACTGTGGTTGGAGTCCCAGACCCGGTGGCTTGAACTCATGCCAGGCATATGTGTGCGTGTTCAAGATCCGGAGAGAAGAACAGAGGAGAAGGGATTGTAGCGTGGCCATCCCCCCGGCGTGTGATTTGCTTTCTGTCTCTCTGTCTCTCTCTGTCTCTCTGTCTTTCTGGCAAGAGCATGCGCCCTATAGCAAAAACCTCTCTGCCCCCCCCCCAAAAAAAAGGAACTACCTATGGGAGGGAAGACAACACAAATGTTTTTGGAGATGGACCTGTTCTTTGTCTTAAGTCAATTGCTCCTGAAGGCTTTGAACAAGATATTAAGAAAATTTGGGGAGGGGACAATCAGAAGGTCAAGACAGGCTGCAATCTTAAAGAAAAAGAGCAAAAATGGTAGACTATGGCATAGGGGAGAGAAAAAGAATTCCAGACAGAAGAAAGAGCCTATGCAAAGGTCCTGGGATGGGAAGAAACTCGACACATCCAGAGAAAGGCCAGGGAAGTTGTAAAGCAGGGAAGAAGAGAAAGAGTAGCTTCAGGGAGGCCAGAGAAGCAGGTAAGATCCAGATGGCCCACTCCTCACAGGTCATGTTAAGGACTTGCTATTCATCCCAGGAGTTAAGGGGAGCCTTAAAGGCACAGAGTGATGTGAGAGCCTGCATTCAATATCACATTGGCTGGGCCGGCAGTTGGCTTGGTGGTTAAAGGTGCTAGACTCCCACATGGCCAGACCTGGTGGCTCCTTTCTCACTCCACCTGCCCCATCTCTCTCTGGTCAAATTGGAAAATAATAATAAATAAAGTTAAAATAAAGTAGTTCTTTAAAAAAATAAAAAGATCATATTAGCTGCATAGTGAAGAAGAGATTGAAGAGAGGTGAGAATGAATGCTTAGAGACCAGTTAGGAGGCTTACTTCATTGACTGTGAGCTAAGACGGTGGTTAGACTTGGGTGGATTACACAGATGCTTACTAAATACCAAAGTGGTGTGGTATTATTGGGTTGCTGGAAAAGTCATGACGTATTTTTACATAGAAAAATACGTCATGACTTTTCTGACAACCTAATAGTTTTTGGCATCAGTAACTAGGATTGAGAAAAGCTGAGTTTCAGTTTTACAAATCACTCCACTACTGTAAACCACAGTCAACATATGTCTCAGTTCCCTGGAGCCCTTGGACAATGTGCCTGTCAAGATAATCAAGTTTTCTGTATAACTAACAGAGAGCTCCAACATTTTTTTTTTCTCACCATTTAACCCACTTAACCTTTTTTTTTTTTTTTTAAGAGGTTTTCGGTATAGGGCGCATGCCTCACCAGAAAGACAGAGAGAGACAGAGAGACAGAAAGCAAGAAATCACCCCCCAGGGCAATGGCTACGCCACAGTCCTTCTCCTCCATTCTCCTCTTGGGATTTTGGGCATGCATGCACACGCACCTGGCATGAGTTTAAGCCACCGGGGTCAAGGACTCCAATCGAGGTCGACTTCATGGGAGTCCAGTGACATTAGCCATTATGCCAACTGCTGGTCCCCCCACTTAACCATTTAAAAAAAATAATTTGTGGTAGGATCTATGTGCTTACATGAACATGCACACGAGAGAGAGAGAGAGTGAGCAAGAGAGAGAATACACGAGTGAGCACCCCCCTGTGGGATGGGCATGACACAATCTCTTCTCCTTCATTCACCTTTTGGTATCTTGGGCAAGCAAGTACACATGCCCAGCGTGTTTTTCAAGCTGCCATTCTGGGACTCAAACCATGCAACTGACCATGTGAAATCCAGCTACCCCAACAACCACCCAACCTTTAGCTGGCCCCACTATTTAATCCATTTTTATAAGTATCTTTATATCCCTGACTTTTTAAGCAGACTATACTGAACATAATTTCCTCTTCTGCTGCCCATTACAAATATCAACATCAGTAACAACTAATACAAAGAATGTTCTCAAAGCAGGCTCAGTCTGTAGCACTCTTGGTGCATTCAGTAAGCAGAACTAGATTGTTGGAGTTTTCATTGTTTCGTCAGCTTTTGCTTTCAGAGCTTTTTTGCATCTTCCCTTGTGGCCAGTAGCTCAAACTCTGTGGTTATGTCTACAAACAAGTAACTTTCTCCTCTTCTGATTCATTTTTGGACTGAGTAACCAGATGGCCAAGATCTTAAGGACTACATATAAAATTAAGATTTGGGAGACTTTCTTGTGAGCATAGGTATCAGTTTTCCTAGGTAAAAATTTGCTTCCTAGGTCTTGGATCTGTTTGTCAGACAGCTGTGTTCCAAATCCAATGTATTTATTATCTTTTTTCTAACACATTTTATTGCTTTAATTCTATTACCTGCCACGTAATGTGTAGCATAAAATATTACAAACACATGCATATATATTTTTTGGGGGGAGGGGAGGGGGTGAGATTTTTACTACAGAGTGTGTGTGCATTTGCCAGAGAGACAGAGAAAGAGAGACAAAAAGTGAGA